CTCGCGCGCACTCAGCGCCCGCCTGGCCGAGGTGGCGACGCTGGCGGTAGCGCTGGCGCTGCGGGGGCACCGCGGGGTGAGCAGCTCCGCCCTCCACCTCCTCCATCTCTTGTCGGTGTGAATCGAAGAGAACTCCAAGATTGTCGGAGATCTGGGGTGCTTCTCCACCTCATCGTCCTCTTCCTCGTCCTCTTCCTCCTCCTCCTCTTCCTCCTCCTCCGCCTCCTCCTCCCTCATCTGTTGTCCGTGTGAATCGACGGGAACGCCCAGTGTCGGACATATGGCTTCCTCCTCCTCCTCCTCCTCCTCCTCCCTCCTCCTCCTCCTCCTCCTCCTCCTCCTCCTCCTCCTCCTCCTCCTCCTCCTCGGCACTGCCTGGCGCAAGTAGGAGTCTGCCTGGGCAACCCCTGATAGGGGCCTCACCACTTCTAGGTAAGTGTTAGCGAATTCCATATGTAATCGCCCATTTCGAGACCCCCGACTTTGCCGAAAGTCGTGGGTCTCAAATTCGGGTGCTGTGCTCACCTTTTCCCGAGGCGTCGCCTCCCCGTTTGTCTTAGTTGGCTAGGGCTTTCGTGTAATCCTGGGTTTGCTTGCGGACCTCTGTTGGCTTCACCTCCCCTCCCCCTCCGCCTCAATCCCAAACAACTCCTCCCTGTCGCAACCCCCGATGTGTCAGTAGGGCGGGCCAGTTGATTCGCCTGAGATCTCCCTTCCACTGGTGATCCTGAAGCTAGGAAAATGTGCAACGGTAGAGAAGGTGAAGGGCGGGTAGTGTTTAGAGTGTTGCTCTGGCCTCTAGCGACGCGCACATTTGTTTTGAAACTTTACACAAGCATCAAGACTGGAGGGCGGCTGGTTTTTACGATGTGGCTCTCGCCTCAGCGCCGCGCACGTTCGTCTTACAAGTTTGCCATATCTTCAAGGAAGGAGGGATCCTCTCCAAAACGTGGCTCTCGTCCAAGCGCCGCATAAAACCGATTGAACGGCTGCGAAAACTTCACGAACTCTCGAGATTGCCAAACACGGCGCTCTGTCACGATTTAGGACTGCCAGGACACAACCGTCAATTTGATTCGCGGCGTTGAAGTCCCAAGACAAATGTTCCGGCAAGAACAAGGTTCTCAACGGTTGACTTTCAAGGGGGAACTTCCCGCAATGGAAATGATCTGTCTCAGGGACCCATGAGAAGGTACATTGAAATCATGACTTGTTGTAACTTCGTTAATGCGCCTAAGTTTTACCACATTCCTCCTTCCCCTCCTCCTGCTCAGGACCGCCATCCCCGGGAGGGGCCCTCTGGGTTGGTCAGAAATTATGTCCGCGGACGATCCCGCCACCTCTGGTAAACTGCCTTGCTGGCCGTCCAAAGTCGAAGTTCCTGCCTTCCCCCCTTCCCCTTCCCAAGACGAAGCCAAGACGAAGAAAACATCGGGTGAGGATAGATCGACAATCTCTGAAATCCAGCGGCTCTGGAGGATGTCTCGGGCGCCGCGGCCTTCTCAGAGCGTTCCGGGACGCTCTGATAGAATTTCGGAATGCTCTGGAAAGAATTGATCCTCGTCCTAGCACCACCCGAGTTTCCCTTGTTCCCCCTCGGGGAGGCAGAGGAGGATCAGGAGCAACGTGAGGTGGGCACAGAAAGAGACAACCCGTAGCGGTGCCTGGAGCGCCCCCACACCTCGGCCTTGCGCCGGGCTGTCGATAAAACACTGCGTCGTCGCCAGGCATCTCTCCAGCGCCCACCAGTCGCCCACTGATCGCCGGTAGGGGCCCGATGGCCCGCCCCGCCCAGGGACGCGCGGCTCCTCGATCGAGAGCCTATGTGACCGATTGGTCTCGTTGTATCGCCGATTCCAGCGCCATGTGCACCCCCTGAACCAGCCCCTTCTCATGATTGCGAGTCAGAAAAAGTGGATGAGGAGGATGAGGAGGAGGAGCAGCAGCAGGAGGAGTAGGACCGTTCGGGAGCTCCCGAGCGACGCGAACCCCACCCTCCCCCTCAGAAATCGTGTGGGGTAGGGGTAGGGTTCGCATGTGGCCCCATGCCCCTGAACCAGCCCCCGTCGTCGCCGAGCGTCACTCCAGCGTCCACCAGTCGCCCACTGAGCGACGGTGGGGGCCCGATGGCCCACCCTGCCCGCGAAGGTGCGCTCCTCTACAGCCGGGGTGGGGACGGAGGAACATCCCTCAAGAACATGAGACCCTCCGCCGGCCAAACTGGCGAGCATTCGAGGGTGCCCTCCCCCAGGATTCGGGGATGGACAGACCCCCCTTTAGTAAAACGTGGTTTAGCGAAAACGACCTGAGGCCCAAACCTGGCGGGCGCAAGCCTGGAAAAGAACGGCCGCGGCGCCCTCTCGAGAACCGAAAACGGACAATTCACTAATCCACGTGTCACTGCTGGGGGCTCTGTCCACCCCCCGAAGGATGCACGAGAACCTCCAACGAGCACGAAACACATGAAGGGTACCCGCCCCGAACCGACCTCGGTCTTATACCTCGGTCCGACCGCACCAGTCGCCCACGGATCGCTGACAGAGGCCCGATGGCTCACCCGCCCAGAAACGTACTCCAGATTTCGCAATAAAGGGAGGGGGGTCTCATTTCGGGGGGGTTCTCTTCCAGGCTATCTTGGAGGGCCTGGGGGGGTCTGGGGACGATGTTTTGGAGGGTTCTCCCGCGGGGGAGGTCTGAAATGGCTTGTCTTGGAGGGTCCAGACCCCCTCCCTTTTATTACGAACTCTGGAGTACGGTTCCTTTGTCGAGAGCGTATCTCGGCGGCGAGCGAGGATTGGAAATGAGAAGGAGAAGGAGAAGGCCTTCTCAGAAGGCAGCGGGGCTCCTCAGAAAACGTCAGGCCTTCTTAGAAGTCTCCTAATTACGTCAGCGGGAAAGGCTTTGGAAACTGCTCAGAAGGACAGGGCCAGGGGACTTCCGAGTCTTCTGAGAAGGCCCTCCCCTTCTCACTCCCCCTCGCACGCCGCCGAAACGGACTCCGAAGGCGTCGGCACCTCCGGGGCCGCGGATTGAACAAATCGGATCGTCGGATGTCTTGGTCCTCCTCGATACGAAGCCATGGCTGGGGTAAAATCAGACCAGGACAAATCGGGCAACTCTGAGATCCTGCGCTCCGCGGATCGAATCTGTATCGGGCGCCACTGCCGTTCCAAAGCGCTCCCGAACGCCGCGCCTGCTTCTCCTCCTACTCCTCCTCCTCCTGCTGCTGCTCGTCGTCGTCGTCCTCCTCCTCCTCCTCCACCTCTTCTGACTCGCAACCATGAAAAGGGGCTGGTTCAGGGGGTGCACATGGCGCTGGAATCGGCGATCCAAAGAGACCAATCGGTCATATAACCTCATGCCCGTGAGAATAAACACTAGGGGATAATCAAGTTCGGGGTTCAGGGAGAGATAATAAAAGTAGCCCAGCAGACCTCAGCATAATCTCGAAGTAAGAGATGATCAAGAGGAGACCAAGCCGAGCACGTTTTGAGACATCCTTGGCGTTTAGTTTTCATAGAAATATCCTCAACAATGGCTTATCTCGCTGGAGACATCCTCGACAAATCCCTTGTTTCGCTTGAGACATCCGCAAACTATTGCTTGTTTCGCATAAGAAAGAAGAAGAGGAGAATAAGAAGAGGACGAAGAAAGGACAAATCCAAAGTTCCAAATCTATCAATTTTAATTTACAAACGCTTTATGAAAATTGATTGTTTTAAGTGCTCGTGTAGGGTAGCTCATGTGCTTCATTTTCCATGGATAATCAACCCCAGGGATAAAAAAGTTCAGGCGAGCGTGAGGACAGATAGAAATATAAAATAAGAAGAGGAAAGTAGAATAATAATAAGAAGAGAAGAAGAAGAGAAGAAGAAGAAGAGAAGAAGAACGGAAAAATGGAAAGTTCCAAATCTATCAATTTTAATTTACAAACGCTTTATGAAAATTGATTTTTTAAAAGTGCTCATGTAGGGTAGCTCATGTGCTCCCCTTTCCATGGATAATCAACCCCAGAGATAAAAAAGTTCAGGCGCGCGCGGGGATATATACATATATAAAAATGAATATAATAAAAAATATAAATAAAAAGAAACAACTTGCTCGTTTAGCTTGAAACATCCTTGAGACATCCTTGAAACATTGCTCGTTTCGCTTGAGTCTGCCTCCCAAAATTATTGGTTTCGCTTGACACATCCTGAAAAAGTGTGATCGCTTCGCTTGATGTTGCTATATCAACATCGCTTGATGTTGCTATCTCAACATAGCGTTTCGAGGTGATAATGAAGTTCGGCCTCAGCGCTCGCCGCCCACTTTGAATTTTGTATAGGGCGACGATAATCAACTCTAAACACTGAAGGGGGGGGGTCCCTTTATTATCATCGGCATGCGGTTAGGCTCTCGATAGGAGGAGCCGCGCGTCCCCTGGCAGGGTGGGCCATCGGGCCGCTACCGGCGATCGATGGGCGACTGGGAGTCGACACATCCTCCCCGCGCCTAGGACGGCTTCGGCCTGCGCGCAGACAGTCCCGAGAGGCAGTCCCAGTTGGCCTCGGCAGGCCCCCCGAGCAGTCCCAGCCGGCCTCGGCATGCCCCCGAGGACGACCTGGCCGATCAAAACCTGTCCTTGGCCCCTCCGCCCCGGCCAGCCAGCCTCCTGGGGCGAGGAGCCCCCCAACCGCGCCAACCGAGAACCGAAGACGCCCGCCGTCGCCGCCCAGCCGTCGGGGCTGCCGCCGCAGCCGCCGCCGCCGCGGGGCGCCAGGCGCCGCCCCAGCCGCCGCGGGATGCTGGACACCGCCGCCGCGGGGCGCTCGGGGATCTACTGGCCCAGGTCAGTGCAAGCCCGGGTCAGTCAGTCCTGGCAGGGTGCTGCAAGATCCTGCCAGATCCTGCACCCTTGCCTGGGTCAGTGCGACCCCCGCGGGACCCTGCGAGATCCTGCGCTCTGACGGACCCCCGAATGCATCGACCCCGTCTCTTGAGCCCCGCGGGGTGCCAGGCAGCCGGCGCCGTCGCCGCCGCGGGGCCGCCGCGTGGCCGCCGCCGCCCCGCCGCCACGGGGTGGTCCCGCGCCGCCGCCGCAGGGGCCGCCCCCCCAGGCCCCCACCCCCGGGCCGCCTCGCGCACGCCGCCCCCGGCTGCGGCTCGGGCAGGGGCTCCGAGGCGGCGCCTCCCGTTCGCGCGCGCAGCGGCTGCTCGGCCCTGCACCTTTCTCGATATCCTTCCCCCTTCTCCAGCTCATCCTCCTCATTTTCCTGACGCTTCTCCCTCCTCCTCCTCCTCCTCCTCCTCCTCCTCCTCCTCCTCCTCCTCCTCCTCCTCCTCCTCCTCCTCTCCTCCTCCTCCTCCTCCTCCTCCTCCCCCTCCCCCTCCCCCTCCCCCTCCCCCTCCCCCTCCCCTCCCCTCCTCCTCCTCCTCCTCCTCTCCTCCTCCTCCTCCTCCTCCTCCTCCTCCTCCTCCTCCTCCTCCTCCTCCTCCTCCTCCTCCCCCTCATCCTCCAGCTCGCTCAACTCACCCAACACATCCAACTCTGCATCATCACTATCAACATCGTCGTCGTCATCATCAATATCACCACAACCACCATCTTCCTCCTCCTCATCATCAGAATCGTCGTCGTCATCATCAGCATCATCATCATCAACATCAACACCACCACCACCATCATCATCATCACCATCAACGTCATCATCAACACCGACATCAACATCATCACCACCATCATCATCGTCATCATCAACATCGTCATCATCAACACCTCTAACACCATCATAATCACAATCGTCATCATCGGCAACGTCATCATCATCATCATCATCATCATCACCACCATCACGAACATCATTGTCTTCATCAGCCGTCGTCGTCATCGGCCGTCGTCATCATCATCATCGGCATCACCGTCAGCCACAACACCATCTTCATACACATGTTCAGTTGCATCATGACCATCACAATCCTCATCCTCGAACTCGGCATCCCCATCATGATCACGATCAGCATCAACATCGTCGTCGTCATCACCAGCATCACAATCATCATGGCCACCACCAACATCATCAAAACGAGCATCACCACCAGCAACAACATCAGCATCATCGTCATCACCATCACCATGACCATCATCACCATAACCATCATGATCATCATCACCACTCATCATCCGACTGACAATCCATACCATCATCATCAACAACAGCATAATCAACATCGGCATCGGCATCGGCTTCATCATCAACAGCCTCACCGTCACAATCACCATCATCATCACCATAACCATCATCAACTTCGTCGCCGTAAACATCAACATCACTAACAGGAACATCTTGATCACAATCACCGTCACCACCGTCATCATCATCGTCGTCATCATTACAATCACCACCACAATCACATTCATCACCATCATCATCCTGATCCTCATCAGCACCATCATCGACATCAGCATCAAAATCACCAGCATCACCATCATCACCATCGTCATCACAATAATCAGCATCGCCACCACCACCATCACCATCATGTTCCTCAACACCAGCAATATCAACATCATCATCAACACCATCAGACTGTTCATCACCGTCATCATCAGTATCATCATCTTCACCACAATCACCATCAGTTTCGCCATCACCATACACAATTTGTATCACATCATGATCACCACCATCATTCTCATCCTCGAACTTACCATCCTCGCCGTCATCACCACACGCATCATCAACAATCTCATCAGCACCATCAGCAAACTCAACATCCGCCTCACCACCATCATCACCAGTATCAGCATCGTCACCGTCACCATCATCAAGGTCTTCGTCATCAACATCACCATAACCATCACCATCATCATCATGACGGTCACCATCACAATCACAATCACAATCATCATCATCACAATCATCATAATCGTTGTCTTCATCATCCTCGGCAACATCATCACGGCTACCTTCACCACCATCATAATCATCGGCGTCGTCATCATTACAATCACCATCGCCATCACCTTCATCAGCATCATCATTCTGATCCTCATCATCATCGGCATCGCCATCCCGAACACCATCATCAATACCATTACCACCATCACCATCACCGTCAACATCACCATTATCGGCATCGGCATCGGCATCAGCATCGGCATCAGCACCAGCATCGCGATCAGCATCAGCATCAATATCACCATCACCATCATCAGCATCAGCATCATCACCATCATCGTTATCGTCATCGTCATCGTCAACATCATCATCATCATCATCATCATCATCATCATCAGCATCATCGTCATCGTCGTTGTCGTCATCAACATCATCATCCCATCTCCATCATCATCATCATCATCGTCATCATCCCTCCTCCTCCTCCTCATCCTATCCGTTCTACCCGTTCTCGTCCTCATCGTCTCCTTCCCCCTCCCCCTCTCCCTGCCCCTCGTGATTCGCATCCAGCACCCCATCTTCTCCTGCCCTTCCACGGGGGAAGGAGGGCGTTGAGGAGAACAGAGGGCCCGAAGGAGGAGGAAAGGGAGTGAGGAATAGGGAGGACGGCAGTAGGAGGCGGGACGGGTTGCAGAAGACCAGGGGAAAGAAACACGACCGCTGTGCTACATGCTCCAAGCACGGCAGCACCATCCGGCAGAAGGGCAGCTCCCTTCCCTTCGGCAGGGGAGACGCGAGGAAGAGAGGGAGGCAAGGAGGAGGGAGGGAAGGAGAGAGGAGGCGGACGAGTGAGGAGGGGGCAGAGAGGTAGGAAACAAGCTAGGTGCGCTGGCGTCACATCTGACGTCCTACCCCTCCCTCCCATCCCTGACCATGGCGTAGATCTCCAATATATTCGCATGGTCGGATGCCGAGCAGGGCAATGATCCCAAGAGGGTACGCGATGGATGGAAACGCATGGCCTGAAGAGGGGAGGCGGAGTAAGGAGAAAGATAGATGGAGGAGGAACGAGGGAGGGGGAGGGGCGATTCCACGGCGGCGGCGACGGCGACGACTGCGGCGGCGGCAACGGCGGCCGTTCCAGAGGAGCCACGGGGTACACAAAATGTGAAGAGGTCTCAAAACTATCATCGACATCATGGAGCCTCCTCAGAGCTCGCGCTGCGGATCGTCGATAGTCCTCGTCAATCGTCGTCGATACCTCAAGGAACTTTGGAGCATCAATCGTTGTTCCTCCCCCTGCGCCGACGCCAGCGCCGACGGGCTGATCTGCGACTGCGGCCACGAACCTATGATCCCTTCATTTCCCAGCTGTAGTGCCTGCCCCAGAGCCCTCGGTGCCATTCCCTTGGAAATCAAGTTGTTTTCGACGAGAAAGGAGCTATGAGTGTAACTGAACGTCTTAGATTCGCTGCTATGATTGCACCACTCGCAGCGATCGACCACCCCACACGACACCGAAGCCCCGAGCGACATGGCCTCTCGTTTGAAAAAGAAGCACAATCGATGTTCGTCGCTGCAGAGGCCCGCGTTGGGCCCTGCCTCTGGCCGTTGCGGCTTTGTCGTCCCGAACCGTTTTGTTTTCGCATCGCCCGGTACGGCAAGCTCTTGTCGTGGCGACTGGCGCGTGGGTCTCTCACAGGCTGGACGGGTCAATGTTGAACGGTCGTGGCCTTCCGATCGCGCAGATCGTTCAAGGCCGGTCGGTTCTGGGCCACCAGCGGCGTTCGGGCGGGTGGTAACGCGAGGTGACCAGCATTACCACCCGCCTAAGGTCCCCAAAGGGCCCTTAGGGCCTCTTTGGGGCACCGCCTGGCTCCGAAAGGGGCCCCAGAGGGCTCCTTGGGGGCCCGTCTCTTCACCCTCCACTTGGCCACCCCTCATTACAAACCGCCCGAGGCGTTCAATTCTGAACGCCCGCGCAGGGGTCGCCGCCGCGTCGACCCGACGCGAACCTGTCGCACCGGCCAGGACCGTTATGCTGCAAGCAACCTGGCGGAGAAGAGGTGACGATATGAATTGCCACGCCCGCCATGGGTGCATACACAATTGGGCGAAGGTTTTCTTATGCGGCGTTTCGACACTGGGCGGAGGGGGGGGGAGAGGGGTCTTGCTGCAGACCTCTTCTTAATGCGACTGTTTGCAACCGTGCGTCCTATGTGGGAGGCCCCACCTGCTCGAAACAGGCGCCAAAAAACAGCCAAGATCTACTCCATGAGGGTGGGGAGGGGGGGTTCGAGGGGCCGCGCCGATCGGCAAAATTCGCCTGCCCAACGGGCCAGAGGCGTGCTAAGATCTCTGGTAACTACTTGACAATTGTTCTAGTTCGCGCGCGCGGGGCGGCCCCCGGGAGGCCCCAGACGAAAAGTACCCTGGCCGATCCCCGGCTGACCCCCGGGCGATCCCCAGGGGGGAGGCTATTTTTCGCCACCACTCACGAGGATCGTGGCCTCCGAGGGGGGCTGCCAACGAGTGAACAAATCAAGACGGAGGCTTTTCGCCGTTTTCGGCCTCTAGAGGCCCTCGCCGGGCCCTGGGGCCGTCAAAAACGACTCAGGGCGAAGAACTGGTCCCAAGGAATGGGTCGAGATTTCCGGGGAACCCGTATTGAACAAATCACGACATCGGATCTCTGGGATGTCGGCCACTGTGAATGGTCCTTGTGTTTTCTTTCAGTTCCCAATTCGACCGTGCCGATCAAAAGCTTTCTGCCCGATGTGATCCGCCGCGGCGACAGCCATGCGTCGTCAGAGCGGGCGCTGGAAGCATGCTTACTCTGACTTCGCGCGTCGCGACCCGCCATGCGCGACGCGCGGCTGATCTCTGAGGAGGGAGCCCCCCAGGCACCGAATGCTGCGAAACACATTCAACTCAATCGTTGGGCTGCGCACCAAAGCTGCCCCTGGGCAAGGGTGACATCTGGCGCGCGGCCTGTCGATCGCTTCGTGCGACGCCCGAACGCCGCAATCTGGATGCATCTCTGGCAAAGAGTCGGACAACTCGCTCGACTTTCGGGTCATACCGTAACTCAATGTCTCTGACTTCCGATCGGGACGATACGAGCACCCTTGGTACGCTCTCGGTAAGGCGCAGCTGCTGGAATGCATCCCGAGGCAAGAAAACTGCCAGGAACCGACAAGGTGTTATGAAGGGGCCCAGGGGTACACAAATAAGTCCACTCAAATCCCAGGATTCCCAATATTTTGAGCCTTCCCCCCCACTTCCCATGTG